ATATATATATATATATAACATGTGCGCATTCTATGTTTGAGTTAAAAAAAACTGTTGATGCAGCACGGGGTAACTTGACACGTACATCTAAAAGCATGGGAGGCCATTATCGTAAATTGCGTAAAATCACGACTAACTCGGGGAAGTACTCCTGGCGTCTACTTCCGTTTTCTTGACCCGTTCTTATCCTCAACCTTCCTTTTCTCGTGCTGAAAAACGTGCTTGAAAGAACAATGGATCAGTTTAAAATTCAAAGATAGGAGAACAAGGACAGCTCATGGGAAATCAGGTTCAAAGAACATGCTCAGCAACCTAACGCCCTCCTTATATTCCTCCTGCCCGACCCACTCCACCAGATACAGGAATTGTTTCCCTTAAACAGCATCCCATCTCTTGGATATTCTCATCATCCATGGCGAATTTGGCACAGAATTCCTGCAATTCACCTGACCAGATATCGAGCTTTGCTAAAAAATGCAATCTTTTGAGCCGGTACTTGAAGGAGAAAGGGAGTTTTGGAGACATCAGCCTTGGAATAAATGGAAAGGCTCCTGAAGTTAAAGGTACCCTTAAAATTCTTTCTTTCTTTTCTTTTTCTTTCAAACGCAGATTATACAGAGACGTGTGTGTATGTTTCTTATCTCTTTTCTGTTTGATATTGTACTTAGGTACTGGGACATCTAGTTCGCCGGCAACAACATTGAATCTACTCACCAACATGGAAAATTCATCTGAACATATCACTTCGAGACAAAAGCCTGTGGCATCTTCAAACATGATGAGATCCATGGATTTCTTTCCTCATTTTGTGGGTTTCAGTCCTTCAAATTACACGGAAGACGCCATCAACAAGGCTGATAATCACTTGAGGTATCGGCATGCATACATTCCTATGTATACAGGCAGAAAACTCTGGTTCCCGATTTTGTTATTCAACTTTACTTTTCATGTGCTAGATTTTTATGCTGTTTTTATGACATTAGGAAATCATCTACAATGGATCCTGGAACTGCCCCAATGACTATATTTTACGCTGGAAAACTGACTGTGTTTAGTGACATTCCGGCTGCTAAGGCCAAGGAGATCATGGCTTTGGCCACCAAGGGAAGCTCTATCAGCCCTAATGGGTTTCCCTCTGATCCTTCAATAATAAAAGTTAACTCCGCCAATTCTGTTGCTGCTCTTGATTCCAATAATGCCCAGCAAAGACTGCATTTACAACCAGAAGCGCCTAACGGTTCAGGTAAACAATTGTTTTCTAATGTAAATATCGTTATAATAGATTAATGCTGTGTTTGGTTTTTGGAAATTGGTTTAAAAAATTATTTTTGTATTATTTTTGTATTTATTTATTATTAGAAATGTTGATTAAAAAAAAATATTTTTTAGTTAAATAACTTGATTTCTGAAAAGTGTTTTCCTGAAAAATTAAAAGCGTTTTCTTGAAAAATTTAGGTGGAAATATTTTCTAAAAATTATGAAAAATTTAAAAATATTATATTATTTGTTGATTATATCAAATTTAATGTTCAAACTTTTAATTGTTATATATATTTTGTTTTGAATATTTATTTTTTTAATTTTATCTTTTAAAATTTAATTTTTATATTAACTTTGATTTTTATTTTTATAATTTTTATTTAGTTTTTAAATTATTTTTTATTGAAATTTTTTATCTATCAAATTTAATCCCTTATTCTTTTGATTGTTTCTTATTTTATTTGAAATAATTTATGAAATATTAATTATTATTATTATTATTATTATTATTATTATTATTATTTATCTTTAATTTTTTTAGATTTGATCTCTATTATTTATTTTATTTGAGATAATTTATAAAATTATATTTTTTTAATTTTATTTTCATTTAATTTTTTAATTTATAAAATTTATTCTTTATTATTTTAGTAAAATTGAGGAAAAATAAAAAATTAATAAGTTATTTTTCAATTTATTTTTCATGATATAATCAAACACTTAAAAGTATTTTTTAAATTTTTTATTACACTATTAAATATTAAAAAATAATTTATTTTTCTAAAAAAAATATTTTTCAGTAAATAAACCGATCTAAATTATTAATAATTTTATAGTTTTAATTAGTGAATTTATATCCTTGCAATAACCCTCCTTTTCTTTTTTCTTACAGGTGTACCACATGCTACAAGAGCATCACTTCATCGGTTCTTTTCCAAGAGGAAAGAAAGGTAATAAAATGCTAAAGTTAAAAATAAATTTTAAAAAATAAAAAAATATTTTAATTAATTTTTAAATAAAAATATTTTAAAAAATTATTATTATCACCCCTACCAAACACTATCTAAATTATTAAATGCTAGTTACTGAATCTAATCTAAATCTTTTTTGGTTATTTTTCAGGGTTGCAGCAAGAGCACCGTATCAAATACATCACCCAACTCAGGATCTTCCCAGTTCTTCAAGACCCGAGGAAGGCAGTAACCCATTGCTTGCCCTGGACGCAGGCCAATCATCAAAGCAGCTAGATCTTAAGTTGTAGCTCCTAGCTAGCTATTGAGAAATTAGCTTAGCATTCGGATTAGCTTGGCATGATTAGTTCAGTTTAATTAAAATTGTTATATTATATTATATTTGCTTACATATTGTTGTAGGTAGGTCTGTTTAATTTGTGTCTTGCGCCTATTCACGCACAAAATTTTGCAATTAATCTCTTCTATATATTCATCATTTATAATCATATATGTTCATCATGTGAATAATGCTGAAGGCTTTCAAGCTAATTGGAACGTTTATGTTTTTTCTTTCTTTCTAACGTGCTCTATTGATTTTTGCTTGAGATCTGGTGCATCCTCTGGAGGGAAATATTGTTCAAGATTTACAAATAAAATTATAAAAGTGAGGAAAACATGTTTAATTTATAAAAATATAATATAATTAGAATATAGCAATTTGCAATCATAACAAAACAACAATTATATATAAAGATTCTAATAATGCAAATTAACCATATATATGACATTAATGCTAATTATATAATATATCTTTATAAAAATTAAAACAAAATCAAATAAATTTATTTATTTGTTGAAGTATTTTAAAATTAATTAAAATATTTTGTTATTAATGATTAATTATTTACTTTTAAAGCTTTACTACTTCTCATTTAATGAAATATAACTTTTTTCATCAAGTCTCATAAAATCCTTACAAAACTAACTTGTTTTAGTATAAGAAAATTGTACTTGATTATTCTTCTACAAGGAATGAATCTAAGCTCTAAATTATAAGAAAATTTAGAAAATAAACAAAGTTTTAAAACCAAAAAAGCAATGCTATAAAAACAAGAGAGAATAAAATTTATCAAAACAATGCAAAATTAACTAACCTTGAACACTTGTTTTCAACCAATTTTTATAGAGAATTTTAAGAATCAAAAGTTGATGGACATCCCCCACTAATAACTTTGATTACCTATAATAAATCAAAATAAAACCTTAATATTTTTTTATTTAAATCATATGACTTTTAAGATAAAAATAAATAAATATTATTGACAAAGTTCTAGAAAAACTTATCTTTCTTTCATGAACTAAATAAACTATTGGGCTAGAAAAAATAATTTTTCATTCTTTAAATAATATTTATTTCTCTATCTATTTCTCTTGCATAATACCAACTTAAAAATCCTTAAACGGACTTAAACATCAAATAGTTATTTCACAGATAACACTCACTATCCAACTTGTTATTGTCCATGAAGAAAGTTCAAGTCCAATGAAGTTTTTTTAGTTTTTTTAATGGCGTTGTTTGTAAAACCCTAAACAAAAACCTTGTTTATTTCATATTAATTACTTATTTATAACTAGATCATAAAGTTTTTATGACATATAACATTAAAATACTATGAGGAAGAGTTACGGACCTGACATCTTTCTTAATGATTTTGATAGATTTACATCAATTATTTTAAAAGTGTTTATAAAAGTTGTGCTAGCTACCCAATAATAACTTAGGTTTCTCCATGCATATCTATAATGGAGAATACATGGAGAATTAAATAGCGTGTTTTAAAATATTTTATTAGAGAAAAATGAAAAATAAAAAGAAATTGAAAAAGAAAAGAAAAAAAATACTTTCTATTACTGAACACATTCTTGCTATCTTGTATGTGTGTTTGTGTTTTTAGATTTTTTTAATAATGACATATTTTTATTTATTTAATCATATATACATATATATATATATATATGTATGTATTATACTTTTAATTATCTGTTTATTCTTTAATAAATTATTTTATTACAATGTGACATATAACTTAACAAAATTAACGGAAGTAAATGGTTTGTAATTTTAATCTCGGAGACCATCTGTGATATCTTAAGAACATGCTCTAAGAACATATGATGAACACGGGTTGTTGGAATTAATTATAGTGTTTGATATATATCTTGCTCGAAGGCAACACATTCTTAAAATGCAGGAGTAGGATAGTGTTTATGCATGTTTGTTCAATGTTTTTTTTTTTTTTATATGCATGTTTGTTCAATGTTTTTTTTTTAAAAAAAAAATAAATTACATTTTTAATATTTTTGAATTGATTTAACATGCTAATAAAAAAATATTATTTTAATATATTTATATAGGGGAAAAACTTCAAAAAATAAAAAACAACTTCCATGATATCAATATAACACCAAATACCAAATATATATATATATATATATATATATATATATATATGTATATCTGTGTGTGTAGAGAGAGAGAGGGGGGGGTTAACAGGAATGTTATTGGCAAGTTATTTTACACACAAATGTTTTCAATAATTGTTTTGAATAAAATATTGTACATGAAAATTAATTAATTAAAAATATTTTGTAATCAGTCTAATTTACATAAAATTTAGTGCGTAAAAAATGAAATATAGAACAAAATACGCTCCCAAACTCCAAACGGGTAAGAATAGAGCAATAGGATGGATATCCTATCGTTCCTAAAAGTAAATCCCACGAACTTAGCTTTTAACCACCCCCATCACAACCCAATCATTCATTGCCATCATAGCACCTTTCATTTTTCTACTGCCAGTCCTAATATCTTAAAGATAGCGTTTGGGAGTCAGTTTAAAAAGCAATTCTAAAAAAAATTATTTTAAAGTAACATATTTTTAATATTTTTATTTTAAATTAACATAATTTTAAATTATTTTCATATATTAATTTTAAAAATAATTTTTAAAAAATAAAAAATATTATTAATATAATTTTCTGAATAAAAAACATTTTAAAAAATAATTATAATTACATTACCAAATATGTTTAAATTATACTGATGATTTTTAATAGTAAATTAAAAAATATTATTACACTTATTTTTAAAATAATTTTTATTTAAAAATATATTAAAGGAATATTTATATATCAAAATAATTAAAAAATACTAATTTAAAATAAAAAATAAAATCTTTTTTAATTTTTTAAATGCAAAAAATAAATAAATCTAACTCCCCACGAAAAAGAAATTAAAATAAAAATTTAAGTATAAATATTCTCTCTCTGTTGAGCCGCTTTTTGTTATCCCTCCTTCTCTTTCATAGTGTCATTTTCTCTTTCTTTCTTTTTTTTTCTTTTTCTTTTTTTTTCCCTCTTTTCTCCGACTGATTGATTGACCGATCGATCGAGACCTCCCCTTTCCTTTCTTCTCTTCGAACCCCAAACCACACCAAAATCTGCTAGAAAATACTATTGAAAGAAGCAAGTAAGACCGAATTTTTATTTTCGCGACAAACAAACAATAAGGCCTGATTTTTTCTCTTTCTTAAAAGGAAAACGAAAGAAAAAATGCAACAACAGAGGCTTAAACAGCAACAAGCACTGATGCAACTTCAACAACAGGCTCTTTACCATCCTGCCCTCCTCGCTCCTCCTCAGGTACTCCCAATTCTTGGAAGCTTTTCCGTTTTTTTTTATTTTTTTATTGGTTCTTATTCTGCCGATTGCAATTTTCGTTATTGGATTTCTAGAGCTATCTAGGGTTAGGTTCTAGGAGCTCGGGAGGAGGATTTTAGGTTTTCTTTTCCTTTTCTGACAAAAAATTATGGTTTAGTGTTGGTGTGTTGGCCTTGTTATTGAAATTTTAGGGTTTTCTATTTCCTATTATTGTTACGAGCTTTGCCTCTCTCTCTCTCTCTTTTTGGTTTTTGGGGTTTTGTTAGAAATGGATGAAAAATTAATTAATTTTTTGAAATGTGTTGTTTTCTAGATTATTTGGGGGCATTTAATGAATTTGATAAATTTCTATTTTTTTTTGGTTTCTTTTATGCTTCTACAGTTTGTAATGTTAAAGTTAGAAATCCGAGGAAAAATTTGGGCAGTTGTTTTGTGTGGTAGGAAGCTTAAGTTAGTCGTGCCTTATCTATCTTATCAAAAGAACATCACCTTGATTATGGATATTCTTCACACGGTTTTAGTTGATGCGTCTTCGCCAACTTGACAATTTATTTTTGTGTCTGGTCATTTCTAAATCACGGTCTTCCTCTTTGTGTTTCACCGTGTTTATGCATATGTGTTCAACTCGTGCGGAAGTGAATTATCAAATGTCCATGTTAAGTTTCACAGTGGGTTGTTTTATGCCCTGTTTATTTGTTAGCCTGGGAATGCTCCAAACTTTTGTAAAATGCAATTTCAGTGTTCTTGAATAGCGCAGGGTTTCATGTCATTTTCAGTTAAATGCAGCAGAGTTTGGGTCCATTTTCTTTACCACGTTATAATCTAGATAGCAGTTGTTTAACTTGGAGTGATTGTTTCTTTACCATTGTCATCACAAAACCCTCTCAACTGATGGTTATTGCTTTAATTAAAGGAAAAATAGGACAAAATTTCCATTTTTATACTCTCTGTTGTAGGAACCTAGAAAAGATTGGCACAGGAAGGAGTGATGGGTTTTGAACCGAAGCTTCCATTTGGGAATTAACTTTGTTCTGAGGATTCAACAAATATTGAGATTAAGAATCAAGACATGGGCAATATCTTTATATAGTTTTGTTCTCTTAACATGACCAGTACATTTAAGAAGATAAAAAGAAATAATAATAATTAGAAAAAGCGTTAACTATAGTATATTTTTGTTTTTGGTGTCTTGTTTGTATCTGCATTAGTCATCCAGCCAATCCTTTAGGTCTACTTTAAGAACTATTTTATATTCCCATTTTATAGGCTCGTTCTGCCCAGACCTTTTGCAAGCAGTGCTGTTCTGAATTGAAATATTTTAGATTCGGGTAGATTGAGAAGAGGCCTTTTCTTATATTAAATTTTGTTTTCTTCCCTTTCTTTTGTTTTCACTTTTTTATTTTGCAGATTGAGCCAATTCCAAGTGGAAATCTGCCTCCTGGTTTTGATCCAAGTACTTGCCGCAGTGTGTGAGTGTTTGTTTAGAAATTTTTCCTTTTTATTTCTGTTTCTTTTGTTTTTCTTACTTGTTTTCTGTTTCACATGCATGCTCATGCATATGCCCACCGCTTCTATTTTCTTGACTGAATTTCTTCTTAATTGATAACAGTACTACTTATTCATGCTTTCCTTCAATTTTCACTTAAAATGGACCAATAATTTGATGGCCGATTGTCTGCTATATTTATTTTTGCTAATTAAGGTTACTCATAGGTTTATTTAATTCCCTCTATTTTCTTCTTTTTTTAAAACTTCTAGTTTCTTAATTTTTTGTGAAAAATGCAGGTATGTGGGAAACATCCACACTCAGGTAACTGAACCCCTTCTCC